AGAGAGAGAGAGAGAGAGAGAGAGAGAGAGAGAGAGAGAGAGAGAGAGAATGCCCCCAAAAAAGGAGGCAGCAGCTTTTTTATAACAAAGACGCTAACAGGCTGAGACTCAGTGTGGTTGGCTCCATCTTTGAGAAAATCTTTGAAAACTTCTCAACTTCAGCCTTTTTGGGAAGCCACCATATGTAGGTCTTCTGCAGCCACCTCTACATGGGGTGTGTCCTACCCCATCTGGCATGCCTTGTCAGGATGACAGGGTCCACACCAGGAGTGCTGGTGGCAGTCATTAAAATCCCAGGGAGGCCCACTACTTCAGCACAGCTGCACCCGGTCCAACAGGAGAAGGGTCTCCACCAGGATGACTGAGTACCCTTCCCAGGGTTCACTTTCCCCCCAGGACCAGTTAATTTCAGGCCACCTTGATTCCACAGTGTCAAAAGTGGCTGAGACTGGCTGACCAGCATATTACCTGGAAAAGTTACACGGTGACCACTATATTTGAAGACAGCCTTCTGGACAAGGTTGCCAGTTTTAGTTTAAAAAGGAAAATACAAGAAGGAAGGGTGTGCTGGGCAGAGACGGGACTTGTCCAACCGGATCCAACCTATCACAGAACCATTTTCTCGTCATGTCGCCCCATCAACCAGGCCTGAACCCTGAACCCTGAACCCTCTGCCCACTGACCTAGATGCTGCCGATTGGTATGCCACCCCTTTCCTGCTACCGACTGCTCCTGCTTGCTCCCGTTCACCCTGGCCCCTTCTCCATGTACACACTGCATACCTACCCTGTCACTTAAGATCTGGTTTGCCACCCGACTCTCACTGCCTGTTCTCTAAACCCACGGAATACTTGCTGCGTAACAAGCAGATGGCCTGAGGATAAATCACACGTGGTCTGAACTTTGAACAAGGTCCTCCTTCTGCTTTTGCCTCTGGCCCATTTCTGCCTTTCAGACCCACATTTCCCTGTTGATGCTCAGGGATGGAGACCAGACACTTTGACACAAGCCACACGTTCACATTGGGCTTGCCTTGTGGCTGTCAGATCAAGGAGCAGTTAGAGCAGTATTGGTACTCACAGGGCTTCCTGGGCGGCCAGGGTCTCCTGGGGAGCCCGGTAATCCATTGTTACCCTGGTGGAAGAAACAGAAATAAAAATTCTGCCAGGAGTACTCTGGCCAGTAAAGCTCTCAGAAAACCACTTCACTCCTTAGAGGATGTTTCTCAACTTGATTTGTCAAAGGATGTTTCTCAACTTGACTTGTCACAATATTTAATTCCAAAAAAATAATGTTGTAGAATTAAGTCAGTCTGCGGGTATGAAAAGGTCCAGCCCAGTGACTGGTGCCCACAGAATAGGCACAGTAAATAATCTCGACCACACCCATTCACCCGACCATTCATCCTTCAACTCTCTGCTGTAATGAAAGAAACACACCATTGAGCACAACCCAACTTATAAATAATTGCTCACACTCCCAGGGAGCTGCTCCTGCTTAGAAAGCAGGTCCACATGCCTATTCCTCTGCATTGAACATCCACCTAATCCCATTTTATAGATGAAGATGCCGGCACACAAAGTGGAGAACTGCTGCACACGGAGTCCCAGTGTGAAGGTTCATCCACTCCAAGTTTTTGGTCTGACTGCCTCAGTTTGAATGTTCTCCAAGCTGGTGGGTATTGATTTATACCACTGACAAATACACTTAACCATAAGATCCGGGATAGTAGATAGAAAAGTCAGAAAGCTAAAGTTTTCTAGCTTTCTGCTGCTATCAATGCCCTTGAGGCTCAGGCAAATTCCCATTGAGCCTAAAGTTCACAGCTCAGCTTCCCTAGGCAGACCTAGCTGCCTCATCTGTGCTTCATCCCCGAGGGCTTGTTCCAGCAGGGCTTGTTCCTACTGGATGCTTTAGCTTTGCCTGGCTGTCCTCCATGCCATGAGAAACCCAGTAACTCCAAGACAAGATCTGTGCTTTGTCACTCTTTATGTCCCAGCATCTAAGACAGAGCCAGACACAGGAGGCTTTCTGCTCAGTGAACAAGCCCAGGACATTGTTGAGACACACGCTCTACTCACCCTTTAACAGAAAGGTGCAAAGGCCCCACAGTCCGGGAAGCACGCGGCCACAAGTGCGTCAGCCTCCTAGAAACACCTCATAGTTTTAAGCGGGTGACCTCAGCTAGGCACTGCTTTCCAAGCAGGCTTTCTGCACATGGATTAACTTGCTGCTTGTAACAGATACTGGCATAACTGTCATTTTACAAATAGGGAAACTGAGGCACTAGACAGCTAAGCAACCTGGTGGAGCAAAGGGACCCCATCCCTTGCTGCTCTGACCCACATTAAGGAAATAGCTTGTGGGCTTGACTTAAAAAAACAAAAAGTGTTGCACATGACCATAAATAGTCAGAGGCTTCATCACTCCAGGTCCTCCTCCCAGGAATCGCGCAGCACAGATGCCTTTATTCTTATATTGCAGCTGAGGAAACTGAGGCATGGAGAAAGCACAGGCCCTTTCGGAACCCTAAGCTACAACAGCAGACTGGCGCAGGAGCAGCGAGCAGTCTTAGTGGACTCGGGCCTTCCAGGGAGAGCTGCACTGCACCAATTCCTCCGCCCACCAACCCATCTGTGTCCGCTAAAAATACGCGCTCTGCTGCGTCCCTATGGAAATGCTCGCTCATCCTTCTCCTGGCTCTCCTCTGGCAGGGCGGGTAAGAATCAAGGCATATTTGCATACAGTGCCACACAGGGGCGGGCCTGGGCTCTGTGGGCTTAATGCCTCAGAGAGCCAGGACCTGCTTCCCTCCTGGCCATGGAGCCACTCACTCCTCACAGTCCCCTCTTCTAAGGAGTCCCGTGGGCCCCAGTGCTGCTTGGTACTGGACGCCACAGCCCCCTCCCCAGACGTTCTGAGCTTCTAATTTCCCTTCCAATCCCCTCGATCCAGGACAACTTTTATGACAGTGAAGCTGACACACACAGGCCCAGAATTGGTGCTTCCACTGCAGGCTCTGTGGCTGCACTGCACGAGTCAGACTCGTGGCTCTGCTGCTCACTGACTATGTGATTGTGAGCGCGTTACTTCATCTCTCTGCACCTCTTTTTCCCATCTGTAAATGGGAGTCACAGCGCCTGCCTTAAGGTTTGGGGAAAACTCAATGAATGAATTATGTTAATGCTACATGTACGCCCAAGCATGGATCTCCTGGGATTTCTTTTAGAAGCCAGCGGTTGGAAGGTGGTTTTCATTTGGGCTTTTTCCACTTGAGTGTGACTATAGATCTTAATGAAATCAACATGCAAGTTTTACGGACATGGAAGCAAGGGTAGACTGTATTATGACAGCAGGCCCATGATGTTATAGTGGAGCAGAGGAAGGACAATTGCCTGATGATGTCATAGCCATCCTAAAGTCCCCTTTGGCTTGATGCTGTGGTAAACAAAAGTTGTGCAATGCCGGTCACAGGAAAGTGACACATGCAATAATCCTGCTTAATAATGATAATAAAAGACTCTGTTACTGGTTTGGGTATTTATTGTTCTATGGTTTTTAGGGTATAGAGTTCCTTTTACTTACTAAACAAAAACTTTACCATAAAATGGCATCTTTTCTTCCACAGGCAGCTACCACCTGCAGTTTGTGCTCACTAAGCCTCAACTGACTACTTTCCACACAGTGGTAGGCATCTAAGTGCCTATTTCCTAGCTTTCTGTCCTAAATTCTCTCAGATCCCTCACAGAGAAGAGAAGGATTTGTCTAGGTGCCGGGTTAAGAATCAAAACATTTACCAACATGTCGAGTGCTCTGAGTTAAACTGAGGCCTTCAAAATTCATACAGTTCTGGAGTTCCCATGTCCAGGACCTCTGAACATGACTTTACTTAGAGTAGGGTCCTTCGAGTACATGTAGGGAACATGAACTCACATTGGAATAGGGTGACCTCTAATCCCAAAAGATTGGTGACCTTATGGAAAGGGGCACTTCAAAGACAGGCACAGGAAGAAAAGCATGTGCCACCAGAGGCAAAGATCAGAGTGACAGGTCTAAGGAAACCCATGACATCTAGAAATTTCCTAGGAGCTGTGGAGCCCCATGGGATAGATTCGACCTTAGAAGGAACCAACCCCACTGCTCCCTTAACCTCATAATTCAGGCTTCCAGAACAGTGAGGACACACATCTCTGTTATTCAAGCCACCATTTGTGGCACTGCTTATAGTTCCTGTAGGAACTAAGTATGAGATGCAAGTCCCAGACCTCAAGATAGCACAACACCAAGGGAAGCACATTCAGAGAGCCATGCAGGCTCCGGACAGTCAACTGGCAGCTTTTTAATTTTGGAATGAGAATGAGTGGATTCAGGGAAGTTCCCAGCTCCTTGCAGGACAGCAGTAGGGCCTGAGGACAATGGTTATTTGCCACCTGCACCTATGACTGCACCAGGATGAAGCAACCAAGTATTGCCATGGCAACAGCCACACACCCAGAAACACGCATCAAATGAGACTTAAAGCAAAACTCACCGATGGGCCCCTGGGTCCTCGAGGACCCTGTGGCCCTGCAGGTCCAGTGTCACCCTGGAACAAATAAAGAGGAGGTCACATCATCACGGAGCCACTGTGTGAAGCTGATGCAGGCACAGTTTCAAATGTAGATGGAATTTCACCAAGAGGCGCTGGAGCACCAAAAGCATCCCAACTTTGCTCTCCGGTCAGCAAGCTCTTTTGCCCCAGGAGAAGGGATGCTGGCATGCCCTGGCCTTGGTGTGTTCACTGTGTGTGTGAGCATGAGCGTGTGCGTGTGTGTGTGTGTTCACCAGCTCAGACAGCTCTACCCAGTCCCTAGCGGTGTCAGGAGTCTCCATCTCAAAGCAAGAGTAGAAAGGAGAAAGGACAACCTTCCTGAAGTTCTTGTCTTGTCTCACTGGACAGTAACCTGGAGCAGTTGCTGTCTGAGTCACTACAGCAGGAAAGACCTCCACCAGCCACATGCATGGCACCTTCCCATGGCATGCGCTGGTTCACCGCTCATGCCCTCTTCAGAGCTGCCTATAACAAGGCAGCCCACCCTCTGCCGGCCACCGATACAAACACAGAAGCCCAGATATGCTCCTACGAAGCTAATGGGAAAGTGCTCCCGAAATTGGATTTTAGCATGGGAAGTCATGGAGTTAAGAAGATTGCATTTATTTGCCCATGAGCTGGAGTCCTGATCTCTGTCCCAGCTCCTGCCTGACTGTGAGCTGCCTTGGTCCTGTTCCTGCCTGGGCAGCCCCTTCCATTTCCTTTTCTACAAATGGCAGAGGGGTGGGCAAGGCCAAGATGTTTAAACTGCCCTTTAGCAAGTGAGAGGCTCCACCGGGGTAAGCCAGAGGGACCTTTGCTTTCACCTGCAGGCCCAGGGCTTCAGATGCTGCACTGGGTTTATAAAAGCGAAGGAAACACAGAGGAACTAAATCAGATTTTTTTCCTATGGTCTCCTCCAGGTCCTCCAGCCCATGAGAACAGATCAGCCTAAAAGCCCAGGAAAGGGGTATCTTACGAGCTCCCAGGCTGGTCCTGGAGGACACAGAGTTAACAGGAGGCCGTGCTTCTGCCCAGGCACCTCTCCAGGAGCCCACGCTCCCTCCCCCCACGTCTGGCAGCCCTGTGGGACACCACCCACGTAGGATAAGCGGCTGGTCCCGGGGAGTGTGGTGCTGTTGGAAGGTGTTAGTGCCAGGCTTGCTCCTCAGTCTCTGACTCTGGTTGACCACCAGTCAGCTCTCAACCCCTCTGGATCTCACGGTTTCATTTTTACAAGTCAGGTAAGAAAACAACTCTGTATAGATACCAGGTAAGAGTGAGAGCTGCCTGGGGCCCATAGGACAGGGTTTAAAAATGGCTGAAACAACTACAAAAAAAGAGTTTGCATTCCACAGAGTGGGAACAGTTTCTGCTTGTATCAGACCTACCATTTGTCGACTGCTAAAACCCCTGACTGAAAGAAATGGCTTGGAGAGAATACCAGGGGGTGGTAGTGATGCTGAGGGGTGCAGGGGTGCTCTGATCACCACAGGAGATCAGAGGAGGAAAAGAAATACTCCAGGGGAATCCCTCAATTGCCTCTCAAGTCATGTAAGGCTAATCTAGCAGGTGCTTCTCTCCTACCAAGCAGCATTAATCGGAAAAACCCACCTCTCCAGCGTAAGCACAGCCACCAGCCCAGCAGGCGGGAGGTTCCGGTCTCATCTGTGCTAATCCACTGTGGACACGATGCGTGCGTGTTCACAGAGCTACCACTGACCACTGCGGTACCATTTCTGGGTAGCCCTTCCTGACCCCACACCCACAGCCCCAGACGGGCCCCAGAGCATCCTCACTTACATCTTTTCCTGGCGAACCTTCCTGGCCAGGGGGCCCAGTGGCACCAGGTTCTCCCTAGAAACAGAAAGCTGCTGTTAGGGACTGAGGAGTTTCAGCTTCGGACTGCCTAAAGCAAAGGGCACTGAAGATCGGGAGCTATGCAGAGACAAGGGCCTTCACTCAGGAAGGGTCTCCAGGGCTGCACAGCCTCAGCACACAGCGCGGCCTGAGCCAGGGTCTGTGTGCATCAAGGGCAGCCACCCGTGCCATCCCAGTAGCACAGCTGGGAACAAGCAGCAGCAAAACGGGCAAACGTGTGTGGATTCCACTCCTCATCTCCTGACCACTGGACCCTGCCAACGCTGCAGCTGGCTCTGGTTATCTACGCCACACAGGGGTCTCACTGACGACCCAGAAGTCACTTCCATTCCTAGCATTCAGAAGAGATGGAGCTAAAGACCAACTAAAAGGCTTCCTATCTGAGACAGGCCAGTGCATTCCACAGAATCTCTGGAGCTCTGGGAAAATCACCTACATCTCCTGGGCCTCAGTTCCCTCTTCTACAAAATAAGCTGGATACCAGGACTTGCTTCACAGGGCTCGGGTGCATGGTCCAGATGGTGGAGACCATCACAAGTCCAGACTGCTGGAGCCACACTAGCTCACCTCTGGGGGCCAGCCAGTGACCCAAGAAAGCAAGGAAACAGACCAAGGGAAGATCAGACAAGTGAGGGGAAAGCGCCACCCCCTGCCCCGAGTGCTAGAGTGCCTGTTTCCTTTGCCACAAGCGCAATATTCCTGCCCCCAGGCCTCAGGAGCTCTTTCTCTACAAGTGTCAGCTCTGAGTCACCTAGTGTGACATCCACTTACCCGGGGACCAGGAGCACCGGGGTCACCTGTGTGTCCCTTGAAGCCCTGCAAAAAATAGAGTTACTCCACAAGCAGCAGATGTAGGGAGCAGGGCCAGCACCCAGGTGAGGGTCGTGCTGCACCCTGTCCCTCCCTCCGACTGTGGCTCACTAACGTTGCAGCTCACCGCCAGCTGCTGGTGCTGAGCCTGCTCTGTGCAGAGGGGGAGTAGGAAGCAATGGAGAAGGCACGGAGGGAGGTGAGAAGGGTGACAGGGCAAGGGGAGGCCCTGGGGCCCCAGAGTGCCCCAGACTATGTCAGCTCATCTCAGGATTAGGGAGCTCTGCCAGTTGGCTTTTGTTTTCCCTGTTTTGTAGCTAAAGTACTGGAGATGTGGGCCGGCCTGTCACACGGATGGTGGGATGGTGTGAGGGCACCAGGTGCACACACAGGCAGTCTGCCTGCAAAGCCCATCTCGACACAGTCACACCCCAACGATGCAGCTGGTGGATGGCCATGTAGGGTCTTGGGGTCCAGGCCAGCTGTCACCTGGTTGTTTGCCCCTATGGGATGGACGGTGCCTGTACAGTTGTGGAGAGGATCCAGTGAGATGCTGTATATCAATGGACACAGGTCTGGGGCCCAGTGAGCTGTCAGGGCCCAGAAGCCACTGACAAGGAAGAGGAAAAGGAAGGAGGA